GGGGGGAAATAAAGCTAAAAAATAACCAAAAACCAAAAAACACCACCACAGTTCCTCTGAGTACAGATATAACCAGCTGGTTGCCTGGCTTTATTATGTGTTTTTAATTCACAAAAAAAACTGACTTGCTTATCCAGCTAATTGGGACCCTGCTTATATCATGTTTGTTCAGGAATCCTAAGGAAAAGGGCTCTAATACTCAGAAAAGGAGAAGGAAAAAATAGGCAGTCATCCTGTGAGTTTAAGAATTTCCCTAGCAGATACCAGACCACGAGTTCTAATTCATTTCTTAAACAGTACTGGTGAACATCAAGGAATACAGCATGGAACATGCTGAGCCCCAATTACACATCTCAAAAGTAAATGTTACCTCAATGGCAAATCTTCAGAAATTCTAAATGAAATAAAGGGCAAGATGCTCAAATGCTCCCTGAAAAATGTAGACCTTTTCTTTATTGGTAAGGATTACTTCTTTAAAATACATAGTTGTTCACGTACAAAACTACACCTCTCGGTAAAAACTGTTTGAGAGATGTGTTAGAGCACATATGGCTATTACTACTCTTTGCAAGATATCAGGAAAAGAAGTGTCAAATGACTAATTTCAGTGCATTTCTATTATTTTTTTAGGAAGCTGTCTTTAGAGACAGGAAATTTTCCTGAATGCAGCTCGTGTTTCAAAGAGTAAATAGGATTAGTACAAATAATTGGTGCCCGTTGAATTCTGAGGAGCGTGAGCTGTTTTATTAAAAAAAAAAAAAAAAAAAAAAAAAAAAAAAAAAAAAACAAGTTCAAAGATTTATGTCTTTCACATCATTTAGCAAAAATTGATGGCAACAACCATCTTTGATTGTTGGGGCTTTTTTTCTTTCTTCACACAGTAATGAACAGATTTCTCTCTAACACTTTAATCCAGTGCACAGAAACAAACCTAGCAGCATGGCCTTAAAATTAATTCAAATAAGTAATGAATAAGGAAATAGGCAAAATGAGTGGCCTTTAGTTTCAATTGTACATCCTCCCTAACTTTCATGCCAGTGCTCACATGCACATTCCTATCACATTTACTTGCCTTCCTGCAAGTATATCCAGTATTCAGTGATCTGGCTATGGCAGGTGAAAGAAAATATTGAAGTACCTTCTATGGCCGACAGCACAGCCCATGTTACTTTAATGGAAAGACTTTCACAGAAAAATTGCTATGCTATAGTAGATATGCCAGCACACTACCTAGGACAATATATATCAAATATATAGCATTGTCTGTGTGTGTGTATGCTCTTTTAAGCCTTTGCATTAAGCTGCCATCAAACAAGGGTTTGTGCCCTTTACTCCACAGGGTATTGATGTTTAGCTTATGTTTTACCCAGTCCTCCCTCTAAGACTGCAAGTAATTCTGTTTTTCTTCTAAGAAACGAACTAGAATAGGCCTTTCCTAAGGAAATTAACATAAACTAGGATTGATACCATGTGCTAAGCCTCTTTTATTATTATCTGCATTCTAGTATGGATGCATTATAACTGAAAGTTTCTAGATGTAGATGTGTCAATAGTGAAACACGTAGCAGATACTCATACTGAACATCTTTACTGATAGCATGAAGTCTAATTTTACAAGGCCAAATAATTGAAAGAAGGCTTCATTTTTCTCAAGTAATAGAAATAATCATTACGTTTTCATTTCTCCAAATTTGTCAGAATTACAAAGTATTTTTAACCTGCTCTTCATTGCTCTCTAATTTCCTTCCTCTCTCTGCTTTTATGTTATATTTTTCTTGATTTTGTTTTCCACAGCATTTATTTATTTCTCTCTTTTAACAGATGACCATAATATCTTTCCTCATTGTAATGGGTTTCTCTACTTTTTCCCCCCCCTTTCTTTTCTTTTTTCAATAGTTCTGTCTACCATAATTCTATATTTTACTTTTGAAAAGAATGGATGATGGTACAAGTGAAGGGGGAGAATTTACATTAGATCTTATATCAAAAACAACAGCTGAGCTTAACTGTAAACACCACGGTCTGAAATATTTCAACCCCTTATTAAGATCTTTTATTTTAAATAAGTACCTATGAGTAATGTCCTTTAATGAGAACAGCTGTATTATGTTAACACTCCTTTCTGTTGTGAAAAATAGCAGAAAGTCATCTGGCTTTGCCCACATTGGCAGCAGCTAACTGCCAGTCTTAGTTTAGGTGCTCTGCCCATCCAGTGCCAAAACAGACAAGGAGAGGAGTCAACAGCTGAGATTGCAGGGCCAGTGGTCAGCAATAGCTGTGAGTCCCACTAAAGAAAATTTTTAGATGTAAAAGAAAACATTTGGATATAAAAGTGGTTTGGATATTTCTGCTTGATTAAGCAGTCATTATGCCTGCCAAGGGCTTTTATACATCTCAGAGTCAGGTGTGGTTGATCAAATATGGGCAGAAGCAGGTTTGGATACAAGACTAGTCAAACCTATAAACCTTTACATCAGGATAGGCAGCAGCCACAGCAATACTAAAGCTAAAACACAGAAATCACACCGCAGGGAAACAATGCACAGTAAAATATGAGGAGTTCTGAAGTGTATGTTCTTCTCTTTATTCCTCCTTTGGTTTTTTGTTTTTTTGTTTTGCATGCGTCTGACAATTTCTGCAATAGCTGAGAACTGCCAGTTAATGCTGAATCCAGATAAATGGCAGCAGTTCCTATATGTCTTAGGACATGTGGGATGATAAGGGTTGCTCTAGGTACAGACTCGGGGAGGGGGGGTGG